CTCTCTCTCTCTCTCTCTCTCTCTCTCTCTCTCTCTCTCTCTCTCTCTCTCTCTCTCTCTCTCTCTCTTTCTCTCTCTCTCTCTCTCTCTCTCAATTTTGGATTTACTTATCTGTGTGTAAAAGGGCTGTTGTGGGTGACAGTTTACAACACACATATGCTCAGAAGAATGTGGAGCCCCTGAGACTCCTGTGCGTGTAGAAACAAGGAGGACAGTTCAAGGAACTGATGGGTGCTTCATTAGAACGACTACCTGTAGTAAAGAGCAACTCCCTGTAGGGAAGAGATGTGACAGTGCACAAGACTAAAAGGTTGGCATGCCTCCCCATTTTTTCTTTGTGCTAAACAGGCATGAGGGACGGGATATGCAGCTGTGCTCAAAATCCAGAAAGGGCGGCCTGAAAAATTGCAAGGAGTCAAAATTAGACTGGCCTATAATTCTGATCATCGTGCTAGCGTGCGTTGCTTTCATCTTGATAGTGTTGGCCACAGTTATATACTTGATTATGAAGAGGAAAAGCACAAAAGGTGAGTACCAGTTTTCCTCAGCTGATGAGAAGCTGTTTCCATGGACAAGTACTTCAGCTCGGCCCAAAAAGAAGAGAGAGAAAAAACATGCAGTTGAGCCCTTGCCTGGGCCATGAGTTTGGGATTGTCCCCTCTACTGATTGCCACTTGCTGTGTTAGTAATTCTTGCAATGCCACTGCCAGAATGTACGTGGAGGCTAAACAGATCTAAAATTCTAAATACATGTCCCACACCATAGCATCGGCCTGTCAAGGTGCAGTCTGACCAAGGCATTCCGGAAATTTCACATCCAGTCAAGAAAATCCCCCCCGGCTGGTTAGCTGGGCAGTCGTGAAGCTCATTGGATTTAAGATGAGGTCGGCAAGATGGTGGTATAAAGTTTTATATTTTATATTTTTATTTTTTCTTTTCCTCTCCCTCTTCTTCCTCCTCTTTTTTGTTTTTTTTTTGTTTTTTAACAGGTCCTTTCGGTCCTGGCTCCATATCCATTCTGGGGAGCGTCAGTCCGGTTCCTATTCCCCGGGCAAGTCGAAATTGAATATATCATAGTACACACTCACGCTTCCTTCCGTCCGGCTGAAGGATCCCTGAACAGCACTGATTACTCCTGTATAGGAGGATTGACTGTCAGCTTGCCCTACCCTTGCTTTCCTCTCAGACACCCTGTTGGTCTGTCGAATTGGTCATACAGCACAAGAAAGCTGGGAGGGATGTCTATCCTCCTGAGGCTAAAGCCTCAATTTGTCCCACTCCGGGCTACGTCTCTTGTCGTTGTGGGAGTGGTCCATTTCATCCAGTGTAGTTTATTGTCTGAGACTGTCGCGGTCTTTCCCTGTAGCTCCAGTCTCTCATGAAGATTCTTCTCCTGTTTACGAGTCTTTCAGGTTTACCTCTCGTTGCTGTTACTATACTCCTCCATCTGAATCGGATCTCAGTTTCCACTATCCTCAACAGGAGGACCCACATTTCCTCCTTGGCCACCTCTGAGCCCTCGATTGTCTTGGTTGGTATAAAGTAGTATAAAGTTAGTATAAACTCGTTTTTGTTTTTGCTGGTCATCAGATTGAATCTCGATTTGAACGTGGGTCTGTAATTCAACAGTTTGTGGGTGTACGAACCGAGGTAGACTCGTTTGTGATTGGGGTGTAACTCCATCCCCCGATAGGGCTTGAGTCTCCCAACATATATGTCTCTATCCATGTCCCTTTCTCTGGAAGTTGCCATTGCATACCTATAAATGTCAGCATTGCTTCCCAGAATAGATTGGGAGCCAGGGCTATAAAACCCTGTTAAGAAAAGAAAAAAAGCCCAGCAGTAGTTTCGTGTGTTCCCTCTGCACAGTACGCATTCGTTTTATTCTCAAGGAAATCGAGTTGAAGAGGTTTTGAAGGCTAGTTCCTGGTGGCACTATGTTAATTCTAGCAATGAACAAACCTGGCCAGTAACATGGCAAGACAAACCTTGTCAGTATCAAGGTCAGGTTCATCCTTTTCAAGCAGGAACACGGGACCAGTCGTCCGGGGACTTTACGTTTTTCTGCGCATTGTTATAGTTCACAGCCCATTCATGAGACTGGTGTCGATAATAGTGCCACCATACTCTTCTTTGTGTGTACGTCTGAGAGGAATCCCTACTTTTGGCGACACTGAGGAATCGAGTCTCGTGCTGTGATGACTTGTATACGCATGGTTTTGTCTCCGTGAATATGGATGCTCCGATCCCCTGTACATCCCCTTTACACTTGGGAACACTGAGGAAGCGAGTCTCGTGCTGTGATGACTTTTAGACAGATGGGTTTGTATCCGTGAATATGGATACTCCGATCCCCTGTACATCCCCTTTACACTTGGCAATATCTTTGTTTGATGGTCACACTTTTGAAACGGCAGGGACATCAACCCAGATAGACCCGAGATCTATGCCACCAAGCAGATTGATGAATGTGCCGCAGCAGGCACCTGTGGACCCAGAAACGTCCAGGGCAGAGAGTCAGGGGCAACTTCCATCAATTCCTGCTGTCCTCGGTTTTCCAGATCGGTTTGGGGGGTCACCTCCACGTCCACCTTGGCATCGTCAAGATCTGCCGGCTGGTGCAGGTGATGCGAGGCACCCTGCAATGCCAGGGTCTCACCCCCAAACACCTCCAGCTCCTGATCTCCACCGTGGCGGTCACTTGCATGCAGTGGCAGTTCAGCCTGGGCTGATTCCGACTTCGAGCCAGCCAGATTCTAGGCAGTCCGATCGAGCGCCACCTTTGCCAGCAGGTGAGAGGGCCATATGGACATTAGCTGTGTACAAGGAGGACGATATTAAGGAGGCGACGAACGACTTCAACCGGCGGAACATCTTGGGAAGGGGCACTCAGGGACGCGCATATCGGGCCAGACTTTTAGGAAATGATGCAGTTGTCAAGATATTGGATCAGGGTGCATCTTCAGCATCAAGATTTGATGACGTTGTCTTCCTCGACTATGTGGATAAACTGCACAAGATGAGTCATCCTAATCTTGTCCATGTCATGGGAGCATCCGTGACGAGCAAAGAACAGATGGTCGTCTATGCCGCTATGAGTGGTGGCAATCTTTATCAGCATCTGCATGGTAAGTGGAACTGTGCCGAAGAGCTCCTGGTACCCAGACTGTGTCGCACAATGGTGCATTACCTTAACAATCGATTGATAATTTGATAGTAGATGATTGGTGAGCTCAAAGGTTGAACTTGTACTGAAGAAAATCCTAGCCAAGAAGTGTCCTATGCTATAAATCTCGCCCTGGCCTTCTCTGGGGGTTGGAAAAAAATTGATGGGTCAAGTGGTCATCAAATCAGGAGGAAGATACTAAAGAGGCGACTAATGACTTCAAGCGGCGACTAACGGCTTCAACCGGCGGAACATCTTGGGAAGGGTCAAATGGTCATCAAATCAGGAGGTAGGAAATTTGATGGGTCAAATGGTCATCAAATCAGGATTTAGAGAACCTGGTTGTACCGCACCAAATCAGGACTTTGATAACTCGGTTGTACTGCAAAGTGCAGCCGCTGTGGGCATACTAATACTTGTTGGCCTTCCTACGATATAAAATATAGCCAGATTTGGTCCAGAAAGCCCCACCGTAAGGAGGCACAAGTGGTTAAGAGGGAGTGTTTGAACTTTGAATCATTCATTTCGTGAGTGGCAGGAGCTGCACTCGTGCAGTATAACTGAGTTCTCTAAATTCTGAATCACTGGTTTGTCAGACAAGTCATAAGCATTCTGTGTGCCGATAGGGAGAGAAGGATGTGAACACCTCTTATGTGAACTTGTCGAAAATCAGATTGCCACTACCATTTTTCTGCGATTGGGTCGTGTGACGATCACATTTGTGTCTGATCAGACTCTGATGTGAAAATTGGCCTGAATACAGGTAGATCGACTCCATGCAGGGTGTCAACGGCAATTACAGGTGGACACTATGAGATGTCTGTCATTATGACGGATGTGGCTAGAAGCCTCGAGAAACCATATAGGCTGTGTAAGATCGGAATGAAAGAAAGCTTTTGGTGGGACATTTGTGCTTGTGAACTTGATAGGTACCCGGTGTTCTGCATTTAATGCTTCCACGCGCCATCGCCCCCCTTGTTTCTTTTTATGCGTCTTTATCCCCACATGAGTATGGCATTATGAAATACAAGAAGGAAGGTCCCCACCAACGGGGAGTAGAGGGGTTAATGATCTTAGAACACCAGGGGGGTTATTTCAGGGGTTGGGGGTTGGGGGGGGTTGGTGAGGGTGTTAGTGGTGGGGTTTCAGCAAGGACCGGCTTCAGCAGACATTGACAACAAATCACCTTCCGCCCAAAATCTTTGAGAAGGGGGGTGGGGGTGTTAGTGGCATGGTAGGGACGGTACTTCCCACCCAAAAACTTTGAAAAGGGCGGCCTATGTCGGCTGCCGATCTCTCGAGATCAGAGGTGTTGATAGGCCGCCCTTTTCAAGCCTTTTTGGCAGGCCTGCCGGATCCGGTCTGATTTTCTTTTGGGCCACGAGACCTCCACGGCCTGCGTGGAGGCCTCTTGGCCCAAAAACAAAGGGTAAGACCCCCCAGATTTGATGCGCTACGGTCACTTGGTGCTTGTCACTGTTGTCTGGTCCATGTTGCCCTCGATACTGGTAGGGTGATGGTCCTGAATGCTGGTGACACTGAGGTAGGATAGTGGGGATAGGGGGTGCGCTGGGAGTATTTAACGTGGGGAAGGGTAGGGGGAAGGTGGCCTATCCTGTCAGGACAACCACCGGCTGCGGCTGCCACCGATCCCCGCGGGTCTAGTCCTTGGCCTCTACAACACCCTGGGCTTAAAAAAAAAAAAAAAAAAGATGCGCAACGGCCAACCGGGGGGGAGTCGGCCCGGTCGACCGGGTGGTAGGACCGGTCCGGTTCTGGTTGGTGGAGGGTCCCCTGGTCCTACCGGGTTTACAGCCTAGATTGCAATGGAATACTGAAACTCTCCTTCTCTTCCCTCTCTCTTTCTCCCGTCTCTTTTATCTCTGAAAATTTATCTCTGTCTGCTTGCCGATCTGTCTGTTAGCCTGCATGTTCATCCTCTTTTTCTCTGTCAATTTGTCTGTCTGCCTGTCCGTTTGCCCATATGCTCGTGGCCACGTCACATCTGGTTGGCTCTCTATGCCTGCCTATCCATCTACATCTCTATGTCTCTGTCCGCTAACCCAAATTTATGCCCGTATGTCACTACTTCTGCGGGTCTGCCTGTCTCCTCATCTATCTTTGCGTCTGCGTAGTTGTTCACCCTCTGCGCTTCTTTCTGGCTGTTCGCATGTACGTTTGTGCGTCCATCTATCTGTATGCTCCTCATCCTTCGCAACTGTCTGTCTCTCAGGCCATAACCGACATGGAACTCTGCCTGTCTTTCGTGCTAGGTGTCATCATTAGAGGGGCTGTTGTGGTAACTTGCCCCTCCTCTTAGGCTTGCATGTTGGGTCTCAGGAAGTTCTAAGTGCCCATAGCTGGTGTGTGCCCCTCGATCTCTCTCCTCGCCTGCCTCCCCATCTGTCTGTCTCTCAAGTCTGTAACCTACATGGAGCTGTCTTCCCTTGGTCCTTGATACAATCACTAAGGGACCTGTTGTCGTATCATGCCCCCCTTGGGCTTACATGTTGGGTCTCAGGAAAGCTCTAAGCGCCCATATCTGGCGTGGGTTGCCTCTCAACACATTTGCCAGACCCTGCACTGGTTACCTCTCTCTCTTCTACCTACTGCACCCACTCCTCCTGTTCGGGAGTGTGCTCTTTGACTTCTACAATACTATAAGAACCGCTAACGTCATATCGCACGGCCCAGGTTGCGGGCCGGTCACCACCTGCGGACGGCCCAGATCGCAGGCCGATGAGAAACTTTTCTCATCAGGTGGTGACCGGGCCGCAATCTGGGCCATGTGATACCGGTTCGGCCCGCCGAAACGACCCTTCTGAACGCGCGCCCGCGCCCAGCCCTGAAATCACCCTTCGAAGGGGCGGGCTTCTCAATCGTCTCGCGACGGCACGCTACGGCACGCGGCGGCACGCGACGTGCTCATCTCTCTCTCTCTCTCTCTCTCTCTCTCTCTCTCTCTCTCTCTCTCTCTCTCTCTCTCTCTCTCTCTCTCTCTCTCTCT